TCGCCTCCAAAACATCTAGAAAAACCCGCTGTTAGGCGGGTTTCTCGGCTGTTCATTCTATATTTGCAAAGATTGCAACGATTAAGCACAAAGAATACGAATAAGAAAAGCAATATTTATCTGAAGCTTTGAAAACTATTTAATTGACTCAAAACTTTGAAATCAAAAGATTTTGAAAAATAAAATAAATAAGAGAAAAGAAAAAGCATAAAATCTCCATAAAATCTCAATGTAAAAAGTGTTTTGCTGATAATTTCCCCTTAAACTATGCAAATTCGCCTTTAACCTAGGCAAATTTTCACTTAAACTGCTTAAATTTGCTTTCAAAAAAGTCGAAAACCGTTAAAAGTGCATAATTTCAAATCAATATTCAAAAATTATACAAAAAATAGCAAAATAGCTGAGATGTCGATAGCTGAGATGTCGTTTTTTTGAAATCTACGCATAAAATTACTTTAGAAAAACGGGTTTTCAAGAAAACAAGGCTCAAAGGTTTAAACGATTTAAACAAAACGATTTAAACAAAGTTTCATGTCTAGGTTTCATGTTTCAAGGTTTCATGCCCCCAAACAAGGCTCAAAGATTTAAACGATCGAATCTCTATTGCAGAGAAAACTTCCAAAAATCCTACAAGAAATTCTGAAGCCTTTTTCAGAGAGAAAGCCTAGAAGTGGTGTTTCGCATTTTGGGGAAAAAGGAGAGAAAAGGAGGCTGGACGAAAAAGAAACGAATTCGCAGCTGTCCGCCGCGCAGAGGGGCCGCCCCTCTTCCTTTTTCTCCCTTCTTCTTCCTTTTCAACATTGACGGAAAAGAGAATGGTATACCCTCTTTCGCCTCTTTCCCTCTTTCCCTCTTTCCCTCTTTCCCTATTTCCCTCTTTCCCTCTTTTCCCTCTTTCCCTCTTCTCTTTTCCCCTCCATTTCCCCTCAACCCCACATATGCACCTCTCGAATCGACTGGGGAATTGAAGAGTGGGAGAGAAAGAAAGAGAATGAGAGAAAGAGATTATTCGGCCACACTCCGGTCGATACTCCTGCACCCCATCTCTTTCTTTTTCCCTTTTCCCCTCTCCATCTTTCCATGAACTCAAAATTTGCATCTTCTTTAAGTGAATTCGATAAAAGTAACAAATTTCAAATTATACTGAACGAAAACCGGCAGCGAATGGTTTACTGCAATCTACTATATATAAAAGTGCAGTATCTGTCTGTCTGTTTGGCTGTCTGTCTGTCTGTCTGCCTGTTTTTCTGTCTGTTTGTCTGTCTGTCTGTCTGTCTGTTTGTCTGCTTGTCTGTCTGCCTGCTTGTTCGTCTATCTATCCGTCTGTCTGTCCGTCTGTATGTCTGTATGTCTATCTGTCCATCTGTCTGTCTGTCTATCTGTCTGTCCGTCTGTATGTCTGTCTGTCCAGTAGATAGATGATGTCCAGTAGATAGATAGATATCGATATTGCGTCGGAGAATATCAGGATTTAGTCTCGAGCTTGTTTTAAGCAAGGGAAAACAAGCGCTGAGCGTCAGTGTTTAATCTATTTCCTATTAATCCTATTAATCCTAATCTATTAATCCGAAGAATCCTAAAGTACAAATAACGAGAAAAAATCGAAATTTTGACATTTCATGCTTTCTACAGGCTTTGACTAAAAAAAAATACTGAAAAATCAGCATTCACAGTTCAAAAACTTTCACAAATTTACAAAAAAGTAGGCCGGAGAAAAAGCTAATGAAAAAGTTAATGAAAAGCTAATGAAAAGTTAATAAAGCTATTAGCTATTAGCTAAAAAAGCTTCAAAGCTTCAATTGACTTCAAAAAAAAGCTTCAAATGATTACAAAACTATGCTATAAAGGCCTATTTGACTATTTGGCCTATTTGGCCTATTTGACTTTAAATTTTGACTCTTGTGAATGTCTTCTGTGCTTCACAGGATGTAGATTTACAAGAGTTGCATTCACTCATAAATTTTATTTGAATTCGGAGAAGATCGGGGAAAGATGAAAGAGATGAAAGAGATGAAAGGACGAAGGGGAAAGGGGAAAACCGCTCGATACTCACCCAACTTCTCTATTCCCTCAACTTCTCGATTCCCTACTCTTTTCCTATTTTCGTCGTTTCTAGAAACGAGAAACACTTCTTCTGACCAATACAGACAGCTTTCTTTCTTTCTTTCTTTCTTTCTTTCTTTTTTTCTTCTTCTTCTTTCCCTTGCCTTTCCCTCTTTCTCTTGGCAAGTTAAGGTACTGGATAGCTCAATGGCTAGAGGCTCAATGGCTAGAGGCTCAATGGCTAGAGGCTCAATGGCTAGAGGCTCAATGGCTAGAGGCTCAATGGCTAGAGGCTCAATGGCTAGAGGCTCAATGGCTAGAGGCTCAATGGCTAGAGGCTCAATGGCTAGAGGCTCAATGGCTAGAGGCTCAATGGCTAGAGCAAAGGTTATAATTTCAGAAAATGATACCCAAAGATGTCAAAAATTCTTCCATGACGTCAAAACGTTGGGAACTTTGTGAACTTCAAAAAACTTTGTGAGAAAAAGAAAAAGAAATGAAATTGCAAATGAAGAATTGAGCAAAAAAAAAACAATTTTATAAATGATCAGATCAGAGATTTCTAGAAGTCTCTCAAATCAATTTTTGTTCTGAAACAATAAGTATACGCTACGTCCAATTCAGAATCAAGCCCATCACTCTAAATAGATTAGACGATCAGACGGAACAGATCAGACGTTGATCAGACGTTGATCAGACGTTTGACCTCACTTCACTCTAGATCCGATCTCTAGAACACTCTAGAAAATTCTAGATCACTCTAGAATACTCTAGAACACTCTAGATCACTCTAGAACGTAACAGAGATACTGGTTTAACTAAGCCAAGCAATCAATCAGAAACAAATCCTACTGAAACCCTATCCTAAACTACCAAATGCCATCCCAGGAATTCAAATTCTGAACTTCAGCATAACTCTTGAAAGTCAATCAAAGTCAATGTCAATCAAAGTCAACTTTGTGAAGTGACGATGGTCAATGAAATCACGGCGGTGCAAACCAACCCGTAGTTTAATTTCAACGCGCGACTCGCTTGGGACTCTGAACCTGCGACTAACCGAGCCCAACGTTGCTCTTAACTTGGCGGATCGAACGTGATGATTACCAGACATTTGATAACTGGGCATTAGTGCATTCGGTTTTTAGAGCTAAATAAATATTTGGTGATCAAATGCCCAGTTATCTAATGTCCAGTTATCAAATGTCCAGTTATCAAATGTCCAGTTATCTAACGTCCAGTTATCAAATGTCCAGTTATCAAATGTCCAGTTATCTAACGTCCAGTTATCTAATGTCCAGTTATCAAATCTCCAGTTATCAAATGTCCAGTTATCAAATGTCCAGTTATCTAATGTCCAGTTATCTAATGTCCAGTTATCTAATGTCCAATAACCGACGAGATGCCGTGTTTAAACGTGGCGAGAACCGTAACGTGAGACAGGACGGATATCAGTTTAGATATCAGTTTAGATATCAGTTTAGAAGTCTTGTGATTGAATTGAAATTTCCGGCTGCTAGCTACAAATTTACAAGCTGAAATACAAAATCAAATACAAAATCGCAAATGCAAATCTATACAAAAAGAACCCTTCATTTCCAGCAACTCTCAGTTTTTCTACCAATAAAACCGTAGTTTGCAATGTTCTGGTTAAGTAAAAACGCAAGGATTTCCATTTTTTCAAACATAAGACTTCACAAAGTCGGTTAAAAAGTTAGTTAGTTAGTTAGTTATGTTAAAAGTTGTTGACAAAACTGAAACCGAAAGCAAGAGATAATCTTTTTTGCTTGCGGATCTTTACGGTTACCGGGTGGGGGAGGAGGAGGAGGAAGAGGAGGTGGAAGAGGTGGAAGAGGAGGAGGAGGAAGAGGAGGAGGAGGAAGAGGAGGGGAGGAGGAAGAGGGAGGAGGTGGAAGAGGAGGTGGAAGAGGTGGCGGAGGAGGGGAGGAGGGGGGGAGGAGGAAGGAGGGAGGAGGAGGAGGGGAGGGGAAGAGGAGGAGGGAGGAAGAGGAGGTGGAAGAGGAGGTGGAAGAGGTGGAAGAGGAGGAGGAGGAGGAAGAGGAGGAGGTATAATCATATAATCAATAAAAGTATAATCATAAAAATCTGTGGTAAAAGAATCTTTGGGTAAAAGTTTCGGCCTAATTTACTACAGTGTCTTCTATTCTATTCTAATTCACCTACACTCTCAATTGTGTCTGTGGCAGTGACTGTTCCAACCACAAACAGTCATGAACTTTGGCTATTCAAAAGCAAAGTCTCGAGTATCGACAAACTATGAAAGTTCATTTATAAAAGTTGTGAGTTACCAAAAACACTATTGCATTCGAATTATTGAAGTTTGATAAATTTATTTTGTGCACTTTTTTTTTCACTTCTCCCACGTTCTTATTACCACCTTTTGTAGTGATTTGAACTTCGCGACTTTTTAAAATACTAGCTTCACTTCAAATACAATTTTTTTGTAGTCAGATCTCAATTTCCACAAAAAACTTCATCGGTTATTTTTAAGAAAACAAATAAACCCACTTTATCCCAAATCGAGAACTGAGAGAAAAATACCCGCACTTTGACACAAGCTTCAAAAGAATCAAAAAAGATGAAAATTTACAACAATGTACACAGCGGCGTTAAACTCGAAATATGCACAAGCAATTTTACCGACTAGAAATATGGGAATATAAAAGTATAATAGACAAAGTAAACTTCAAACAAATGCAGATCAAAGAAAAAAAAAAGAAAAGAATAGGGTACAAGATTTAAAGAACCTAAACGCTGGAATACCCGAAAAAAACAGCTATCCGTTATCCGTAATTTCTGCAAAAACAATCATATGGCAGCAAGAGATTTTTTGGTCTGTTATGCACACGAGGAAATTTGGTGAAATGACAAAATGCTTACAAACAATAAGGCATTCATTGTGAAGTGATTGGACTGAGGGGAGAACATCGTCTACATCATTGTCGCTCCCTTGCATGTCGCCTTCGCTGCCGCGTTGGAATCTGAAACCTTAAAAATTAACAACAAATTTATTGCTTGAGTTTTTAACTATCTAAATTTGTAAATTAGAATACTTTAAATGGTCATGTTTCATCAATACTTTAAATCAACTGTCATATCAACTCACCGCATCTTCAGGTATTGTCCCTTCATCCTCATCCGATGAAACAATCACGTCTTCGGGCAATTCTTCCAGCGAATTGTATCCCGAAACACCCGGTGATTTGAAAGTGACTAGAAAAAGCGAATTTCTTAGAATCAAACTAAGCACTCACTGTATTCTCCGTCATCCTCTGCTTCCGCGTTCGCCCTGAGTCCGTCGCTGGTCGAAGTGTAACGGGCAAATCGATGGCAATATCTTAAACAATCATTTCCAAATAAAATATAGGGAAACTATTGCTAAAATTTGCCCAATCAAAGTTTACTAGCTAGCTCACTTTTCTTGTTGTTTCCGAACGAGCTTCGGTGGCACGCGTGAGCGTTTCAGTTGGCCATCCCATTCCAAATCGACCAATCCTCCCTTTTGAGCGATTGCCTTCTTCACTCGGTTAGCGAAATCGATCGCATCTTCACCTTCCTGAAACAACAACTTCGAAATTTGCACAAAAGCCATGTACGCCTACTTGTGGTTATTTGGCGGCATACAAAAAATGACAAAAATGAAATGAATATTCACAAAAGAAACTTACATGTATCCTCATTGGTGGCAGGTACCAAACGTTGCAGATAATCGCCCAAGATGTCTGCATCCCTAAATCCGTCTTGTTTAACGCATTCGCGACAATGTGAGTCACCGGTGACCAAAAAGGTGTCTGGCCACTGGGACCGTATGAGTGACTCTCAGGCTATATTTGGCGTTTTTATGAACCAATTGGACTGAAAATTTGGATCCTAGGGCTTTCGGGGGATGGGGAATCTACAGTAGCCCGAAGTACTCAAAATAGGGGTGGTCGTTTCGGCCATTTTGAGGAATTCCCAACTTCGGCACTAAAGAAACTTTTTTTCCTCTTTGACCGATTTTGATGCTTTGGTATCAATCTCCACTAATAAAAAGTGAAGAGACCGCAAAAGTGTTGAAAAAATCACAAAGTTATTAATTTTCTTGTGAAAAAATCACGGTTATTTCAGAATTTTCACTTCTATACAAAACGAAGATTCTATATAAAATTTTCATTTTTACGTAATCGCGCGGCTTTTGGCACACGGTTTTTAGGTATAAGGGGACAAAACAAAGCTCGGTTTCTTTTTTTCTCTCCATTTCGGTTCAATTATCCAAGTTGTGGCACGTGTGTGGTGGCAGCCTTGGTGACTTCAGAATTCAAAACTTGGATTTGGCGGATTTGGATTTGGCTTCCTCACCACAGAAAACCCTTGGAAATAAAGTTTTAAACCTTTAGCCTTATTCCCAAATGATAGTTTTCAAATAAACACCCCTGTCGTGAATGTGTTAGAAAAAATAAAACCAAAAGCACCTCAAAAGATATTCGGCCCATGTTTGTTCACTACTATTCCAGAAGGGATCACCAAAACGAGAGTCGTACTTCATGGCAATTGGGAAGATCGTAGCTCCAACCTGCAATGAAAAGCTCGTAAAAGTTCGGAATGTTAAACCTCAAAAGATCCTTTCTTGAACATCATCACCGATGTGTTGTTTATGCAAGTGCCCTCCGGGAAGATCAAAATCGGTAACTTGTTGACATCACTCACATGCTCACGCAACCTAAAACAAATTATTTGAGGCATAAGGTAAAAATTTATTCATCTTTCAGGGTGCACAAGAGAGTGAAGGTCAACTCAAAAAATTCTCTTTAAGTTTTGCTAACACGATAATTTAAACTTGAAAAAACTATCTACGATAACGTTAATGTAAAGCCACACTATCAGTGCAGATAATTTATACTTACATGTGCGCAACGGTTGCTCGATCCTTGGCCTCCGATCGTTCGAACCAAATGTGTGAAGATGCTCTTGAAAGCGCTCGTTGCACCAATCCAAGAATGCCTGGATGTCGTTGTCCAATTAAGGCGTACACGTTGTCTGTTGATAAAATCATTGCGTCCATTGGTGACGTGTGGTTGGCCACAGCAATTCCTGAATTTGAGCTTTACCTAAATAGGTATTCAAACAAGAGGATACCGCTGCCTGGAGGACGATTGTGCTCATCGTGGAAATGGACTACAGCAGAAACCGATCTTGAAAGAATCCGATAGCAGATGAGCATACAGTTAAAGTTGAGTCTCCTAAAAACTTTGCATTAATTAGATTCCTATGAATTTTTCATTTCTTTTAAAAAACTAAACCAATATTTAGCATCGTTTACATACTTGATCAGTTTGCAAGATTTGGCAAAATTCACCTTTTCAAAGCTCCATCGGGGAAAAGACCAATAATCGCCGTGCTGACCACCAAAAACACCAATCCGATGCTGAAGATTGATATCCGAAGAGGCAACAAAACGCAATAGCGTAGCAAGAATCCGAGCGAATAGAGGACCGTAAGCTTCCAGCTAAAATTTCAATAGAATGAACCATAAGCAATAGATTTACTTGACGAATTGATAAAATCGAATTGAAGTTCTCGTCAACATGTTCCAACTAGCCAATTGTTCCGCCTCAAATCGAGAAGTGACCTCATCTTCGATGATCGACTCGATACCAGCCTAAAGGAATGAAATCTTAAGGTAAAAATTAAGTTTATTTAATTCAGAACATTTATTAAATTCGCTGCAAATGTTTGGTTCACTTTTGCAATTGAAAACATTCACTCTTACTGGAGTTTTAAATTTTCAAGAACTCGCGATGTAAAAACAGCTGAATTTTTTTCTTTCAAAATTACCTTGACAAAGTCGATCGAATCCCTCATCACAGCCCATCCTCGACTGTTCACCAGCACTTCTCCATCGTCTTCGTCCTCGTCGAATTGGATCTGCGTTTCGCGACGAATTATGCCTAAGCAAATTCGATTTTTACATAACCAGATCAACGTGTTTTTGAACTAAACTCAACCGAATCTCAACTTAAAACCCACTATTCTTGCGGAGCAGGGCCGGTTCCGTGCGACTACAAACTGACGACACCGAACAAACACCTTAAAGAGTGAGCAGTGCTTGACAGTGAAGCAAATCATAAGGAAATGGGGAAAGTTAATTAACGGCTCAAAAATTCTCTTTTTTCTTTTTTGTCTTTTTTTGTTTGACAAGAATATTAAATTGACAAGCTTCATTTTATTGAGAATTTGAACCATCAATTACTAGCACTTATGCTGTTTAGTCCTAAAACCCCAGACAAGTATCGCCTTTTCTGTGAGAATACGTTTAAGAATTGGTGAATTCAAAACAAAATAATAACTTTCTAATCCCTACAAAAATTCCATGGTTATTTGTTTTAAGGACTAAACAGCATACGTACTCAATAACTTTACTAAATTAATGCATGCAAACTGAAAAATCTACTCGTGCAAAGGAAAACCCAAAAAAACTAACTAGTTCCAGACCCATGCCGTCGCCGCATACCGCTTCCCGATTCGTATCCATCACTTCGTACTTCATTGTCATCAGAGGGCTGCTCATCATCCGAACTAAACCGACAATCATTAGTGCATTTTCAATAAAACACTTTTATCCTTAACGCAAACACAATCTTTTTTACCTTTTTACAATCACTACTGATAAGGCCAATTGCAGAAAAGAAACTACCTTGAAAGACAATCGCCAAGATTGAACAATTGAGCCGAGCTTTCACCACGCTTGATTTTCTCCATCTTCTTTGTCGTTTTGATTTGTCGAGCACCCCACTAAAGTTTTTTTACGCTTATACTCTCATCAATTTAAGGTTTCTAAATTTTAAGTCTAATTTTGTTGCTTTAAAGCAATAACCATTTCTAAATTTCACTCTTATCAAATAAAATGTTTGATTTGAAGTAAAAGAGCGGCTGTCAGAACGAATAACCCGCTATCCAGCAAAAAATTCGAGGATAAAGGCCACCCATTTCAGGATTTTTAAAAAAGCACGGCTCAGAACAGCTACGTCGCTAACTTTGGCAAATGATGCTTACATAAAAGGGTGCTACTACACTTAAGGAGGATTATACTTGCAAGGTACCTCTCCGTACTCCGGCAGACACATGGAGGGAGGTACTTCAAAAGTATATGGGGATGGACAAATAGCATCACCTTTTTTTGATGAGTTAGTTGCTTGTTTTACAATTTTTTTTCTAGGGTAACCAGTTGTGCTGAGTCGAATGGTGATATTTGCAAAGCGTTTAGAACAAGTTGCGCTGCTATTTTTCTGTTTAAAAGTGACTTCTCGCTAGTTGGCATTTATTGGAAGCGAAAGGGGATTGCTGAGCCCTGACTGTATACAAGTTGTAAATCTAGATTAAAAACCTAAAATAAATAGATGATGGCGCTCGCTATAATTTTGTCCCCCTCCCTAAGTGTAATAGCATTCATAAAAGTTATTTTTGCAAAGAAAAAATTTACCTCAAAGATAGCAATGAGCGTATTTACGTAGAGTTTCCTCAATCCCAGACTTTTCCCAAAAGTGGCAAGGACGAGGCATAGTAGAACGGTGAGAGTAACTGGCGGGAAAAAGGAAAGCACTCGCAAAGATGATGTGCTCGAAGAACGGACCCATTCTTGTTGATGACGAGCTTCTCGACTACCGAAATGATGCTTGCGTCTGTTGGAAGGCCGTTTTCTAAAGAAAAACGTTATAGAAATATATTTTTCGGTAGATAACGTGACAAAAATAGGAAACAGCGGCAAGAAAAAGTTGATAAACAAGCACGAGATCAGAAAAAGAGAGGAAACTCGACTTTGATCTAATCAGCTGGGAAAATGTTCGAAATGTGTGTTAAACAAAAAAAAATAAAACGGATACAAGGTTTTTCTCTTGAAATAAAGTTCAAAAGTCGACAGATGTGTTTCACTATAGTGTAGTGTTTCGACGTTAACAACTAAGCTATGCCACATAGAAAAATTTGCCATTGTACACGTAGGGAAACCAATCTGCCGCACTACCACACCCATATCGCTCTTTTTAGCGAACAAATCGAAAACCTCTGAGGCAATAAACAGAAATCGTTGCACTCTGTGAAAAAATCGATCTCAATCGTCGCGTCAAAAGATATCACCATCAATCAAAGTGACAAAAATGATGATAAGTTTGACAGGCCGAAAAATTTGAGAAAAAAAAGACCAAAGATTTTCGGGAATAAGCGTTTCCTTTCAAGAAAATAACCGCAATTTTCTCGGGTTGAGTCTATGAGAGAAAGTTTTATATCTTTTCGAAACGCTTCCCTTCTTTCCCTTCATCGAAGAGATGAAAAGAGGGCAAAAGAAACGTCACATGTAACCAACACACACGATAAACAACACAAAAAGCATGAGAGGGTACGGTGGGTGAAGCGCGGGATAGAGTTGAGTCAATTTTGCCAATGCTTTCAACAATCAGGGGACAATGCCTTTTGGCACAATTTTCCGCACTAGCCCAAGCACCTTTTTTCCGTTTAAAAGTTAAAAGTAATATTAACCATCTATTCCAAAAGTTGATTTCTAGGTAATTTTAGGGCGGAGAATCGAAATTTGGCATACAACAGAGCGTGTGGAAACAAACGGACGGAGTTATACAAAGAGAAAAAATCGACAATTTTTCTGCAATTTGATCTAGCCGTTTTGTCTTTCAAATTGGTTCACACGCTCTGTTATATGAAAATTTGAATTGACACCCTCAAATTACCTAGAAAAACAACATTTGGAATAGAAATTGGTTAATATTAGCGAGTTTTTAAAAACGCGAAAAAGGTGCGCTAATGGGCAAGGTGCGGAAAAAGGTGCGCAAAATGTCCGGGTTGTGAAAAAAGGTCTCAATAGTCCCACTCCCAATAGGCAATTAAAGCAGACGTTAAGTTTTTTGCTTTAGGTACGGTTTTTTGCGTGCTTTATAGAGAATTAGAAAATACAAGAGTTGAGTCAATTTTTAAATCCAAATTTTGAAAACTTTTGGACAACTTTGTTTTTTCTTTGAAACAACCTTCTATTTTGCATCAAAATTCGAAAATTATAAATTTCTGATTTCCTGAAATCTCAAAAATAGAAAAAAACACGATTGCAGAATGGGGGAGTTCCCTATCAATGACCAATGCACATAGAAATGAAAAGAGAAACGACGCAAAAAAAATTGATAAGCAAAGAACTCTGAAAGATTTCGAAGAAAGGCGAAATCGAGCGATCTGCTCAGGGGGCACACGGGGTCAAGGCTCATGCAAGATTGGGGGTGGAGTAGGAGAGACTAAAAGAATGGAGAAAAGAGTGATAAATGATAATGGCTTAGTATAAATTTAGGTCCAATCAACTAGACGAGTGCCGAAAAAAAGCCTTTTTGCAAGCAGTTGCTACTTTGTAGACAAGGGGGAGTCTGGTTGGTAAGCTTGTTCCAGTCTGGTTGGTAAGGTTATTCCTAGAACTAAAAATTAAGGCCAGGCCAGGCAGACTGTCAACTTTTGATGGCTTTTATCAAAACTAATTTGCTTTGTATTACTAGTGTGCTTTCCTTTGAATTTACTAGACGCACTAGACTCACTAGATTCACTAGACGTGGCTAGACCTGTCCGTTTTTGCTTGAATGAATAAAAAACCAATTCAAAACCAATTCAATTCAATTCAATTATTCAATATTCAATTATTCAATATTCAATTATTAATATTCAATATTCAATATTCAATATTGAATATAAGCGTGTGAAAACGTTTCAACGAAGCTCAAAGAAACAATGTGCTGACCCAGAGACAAAAAGGAATCACTTTAAAAAATGTGGAAGGATCTGGAACTAATGAAACCAACTTTCACAAGAAAAAATGAGAGAAATTTTGCCTAAATGGAGAAGGAGGCGTTCTTTTTACAGAAATGGTTTGACATTGTGAGCGCGACATTGTTTAGGGTACGGTATTTCTAGTGTCTTATTAGATTGCGCCAGCTTTTTGGTGACTCGTCGTCACAGCTGTTAATGGTTTTTGAAAGCTTTGGCTTTTGGCTTGGCCTGGCCTGGCTTTTCACTTTTTCTAGACCAAGCAAAGCCAGCCCATAACCCATGGCCTTGACCTGACTTTCGCTAGCCTGGCTAGCCATAGCTTTTGGCTTTTTGGAACAATTCTGCTAGTTGGGCCACGATTTTTGTCTGAACTTAGTTTTAAAAATAAATCGATCAGGTTTTAGATAAAAAGCTTACCTACCTAGTAGACATGGGAAAATTCCAAGCCGAACCTAATTCCACCTTCGTTTTCTTGGCCATTTCTTGGCCGATTGCTCTGAAATTTTGTCTACAGATAGAAATTGACATTTTCAGCTTGTAGACAAAATTTCAGAGAAATCGGGCCAGAAACGGTCGAGAAAACAAAGGTGGAATTGGGTTCGGCTTGGAATTTACCTGTATTTTTACCCAAAATTGGTATGGCTAACTCGAGAGCCGGCCGATTGAACTCAAAATTTTTGAGCAAGAAGTGATCTAGTGATCTAGAGCTTCAAAAGTGATCTAGAGCTATAAAAATGAGCAGAAACCAGCTATACTACAGTTTAAATTAGACAGGATTCCTATTAGACTCTAGAAATACAGCTATCTTGCAGCCAAAACCTGTAAGCAATAGGTTTTTTAAGAAAAAATTCGGGATTTTCTCGTGAAAACAAAGATTTGTCAAAGATGTTCTGAGATAAAAGAATAAAGTATCTCTGCATTGTTTTTTTCCAGGGAATACTTGGGGTCATTCTCATGCAATCATTTAGGGAAAAGACTCTGACGCTTCCTGTGTTACACTTGAAAAATTGCCCAGCAACAAACAACTGACTTCCCAGGATTTCTCTCCATTCAACCCCCGAGAGTTCACCACTCATTGACCTGCCCGCCCGCACAAAATTGATAGCTTTTTAGGCAGTTTGAACACTTTTTGCTGTCGATTGAAGATTGAGAAAAGAAAAATTGTTTACCCCGTTTCGTTCAAAAATCAAATCCAGTGAATCTCGATCCAAAATGATTGAATCGATTGGATTTTCAAATAAAATGAATATAAAATTGTAATTTTAAGTCTTTGAACTTGAACTAAAGCATTCTTTTCAAAACAAAAGCAAATAACAGTTCATTTCTTTTGCCTAATTCAAAAGCAATCCACACTAAACAAAATACTTTTCTCTAATAGTAGTGCACCCTGAGCGTCACGTAAATTCCTCGAAATCTCGAGAACTGTTTATCAGAATCTATCGATGTGGGATCGGAAAATGTAGCTGACGATGAGATCTAGTGGGGGATTTGAGTGTTGAGCTTCTGTGAAAGCTTGGGAACTGTAAAATAGTCGGGACGCTCATCGGGACGCACTACTATTAGAGAAAATACTGTATATAAAGCTACATTGGAAATCAGAACTGAACCTGTATGCTACGCTCCGGGAAAAGTTCCAGCGGCGTCTCTGATCTTTACTTAGGCTCAAGCTTAGGCTCAGGCTCGATGGCGTCGCCATTGAAAATATAACGGAGATTATATTGAATAAAAGAATGCCGTATTTTCGCTAATAATAGTGCACCCTGAGCGTCACCTAAATTCCTCGAAATCTCGAGAACTGTTTATCAGAACCTATCGATGTGGGGTCGGAAAATGTAGCTGACAGATGAGATCTAGGGGGATTAGGAGTGTTGAGCTTCTGTGAAAGCTTGGGAATTGTAAAATAGACACCAACTCGGCTCGCTTGGGTGCACTACTATTAGAGAAAATACGGTAGGTTAAAAACAAATAAAAATAAGTAAATAAAAAAATAAGTTAAAGAAAGTTGAATGCAGAAAGAAAATATTATCCAAGAAGTGCATTGTTGATTCAAGAATGATTCAAAAATTGTTTAAAATTGAGGAAAAGGGCGAACGGAAACAATCTAAAATATCAGACCACCAGAAAAGACTGGGATTCCAACATTTCGTGACTGACCTTTTTGGAAGAGGAAAGAGGAAGAGGAAAGAAAGCTTGAAAGAGGAAAGAAAGCTTAAAATTGCATTTCCCAGGTGTCCATCTTGGCGAGGCTCGTTTATGTCGGAGCACGTGTCAGTCTCTTTTCAAATTCAAACCTAACTAAAAGGACAGAAATTCTAGAATAGATATGAGATTGGTTGGCCTTTCAAATTTCAAAACTCATCTCAAACTAGAGTACACAATGAGGCAAGAACTTGTTTCTTGTATTTCAAAACATAAAATCATACGGAGTCTAGCGTAATTTTAAGACAGAAATTGATTTTCTGAATCAAGAAATGTTTAGAACATGTTTAGAACATTTTCACCTTTTCCCTGCTCCTCAAAAATGAACTTAACATCAACTTAAGTTTTGGTTATACCAGTTCTTTGAAAAAACTAGCTGCGAAATGCCTAACTTATTTTAGAAGTATCAAGTGTTATATAGAGAATTGTAGCCCTTAATCTTGGCTACATTTATCTACTAAAAACTTCCCGATTGGACTTATACAACTCATTTAACAAGCGCTTGAATGAGATCACTTCGGCCTTGAATGAGATCAATCTGTCTTTTGGCCGCATCAACTTAAATTTTGCTTATGCCAGTTCAGCTAAAACAGTTAAGTGTAATTCTTAATGTTCTTAACTGATGTTAAACGCTATTTTTGCATTGAAGAAATATTAAAAAGCTTTTCTTAACAATGTTTAATAGAGAAAAGCAGCCAAATGACAGGCTCGCCAAATGACAGGCTCGCCAAATGACAGGCTCGCCAAATGACAGGCTCGCCAAATGACAGGCTCGCCAAATGACAGGCTCGCCAAATGACAGGCTCGCCAAATGACAGGCTCGCCAAATGACAGGCTCGCCAAATGACAGGCTCGCCAAATGACAGGGTCGCCAAATGACAGGGTCGCCAAATGACAGGGTCGCCAAATGACAGGGTCGCCAAATGACAGGGTCGCCAAATGACAGGGTCGCCAAATGACAGGGTCGCTAAATGACAGGGTCGCAAAAGGGGGGGGGGGGGGAGGGGGGAGGGGGGGGCCAAATGACAGGGTCGCCAAATGACAGGGTCGCCAAATGACAGGGTCGCCAAATGACAGGGTCGCCAAATGACAGGGTCGCCAAATGACAGGGTCGCCAAATGACAGGGTCGCCAAATGACAGGGTCGCCAAATGACACATTGATCTCATTCAAGCGCTTGTTAAATAGGTTGTATAAGTCCAATCGGGAAAGTTTTTGGTAGATAAATGTAGCCAAGATTAAGGGCTACAATTCTCTATATAACACTTGATACTTCTAAAATAAGTTAGGTATTTCGCAGCTACTTTTCCAAAAGTTGTTGCTATACTTGGCGATCACCCTGTATAAACAAGTAAAGGTACGGTATTGTGTAATTGATAAGGTACTGACAGAATCTACGGTACACAGTAGAGTACAGTACGCAATACAGTACAGTACAGAATACAGTACAGTACAGAATACAGTACAGTACAGAATACAGTACAGTACGAAATACAGTACAGTACAGGGCACATGCAACTTCTATACGAAATTTAAAGTTGGGTAATTTTGTGGGAAAAAATCTTCAAGTACCAACAACAAAAGTAGTCGAATTATAAGCAATTTAAAACCAATTTGCGATTTTTTAAAAAGCTTTCTTTTCTATAGCTTCTAGCTCCTTGTAAAATATTCGTTTATGTAAAGGCACGTGCCCTCGTCGTCTCTTTTCTTCCCTTTCTTTCTTTTCTTTCTTTCCTTTTCGTAATCAGCTTGATTGCCAGGCTAGAGCTGACAAACCAAATAAAGCAAGTCATAAACAGTCATTAGTCTGCAATTGAAAAAGAGAAAGAAAAGAAAAGCGAGTTGCGTGTCCGCCTAGAACTCCATGCATTCCTAATTGGGCATTCCGGGGTAAGGACCCAGATTTACTCTGATTTTTAGAGTAAAATTGTTTTGCTTGGATAACTTTATCGAATTTAACGATTTTCTGCAGAATATTGGCTGTACTTGGCTTCAGATTTGACTCCTTTGATTTGGAGGATTTAATTTGGCTCCTATT